CTGCTACTACTCCTACTATTACTACTACCATTTCCGCAAGTCATACAGCTTCCACTCCCACCACCTGTTACCACTACCACCAATCCCTCCATCACGTTTCCAGAGGTCGTTCCGCCCTCAAAATATGATCCCGCAGGCGACTTGCCGGACTGATGAGGGCCTTCAGGTTTTACTTGGGATAAGTCCTACACGTTTTTTTGCCTCAATAGTAATGACCGTTGCCACAAGAAGACGCTGCTAGTGCTTCAAACAATGACCAGACCCTAGGTCTTCGAGCCATCGTAAAACCTTCGGGAGAAGAGTTATGACGGAGCACGGGTTGTTGTTGTTGTTGTTGTTGTTGTTGTTCTGTTTGCGATTGTCGTGGCCCCTGTTCCTGCGGTTGACGTTGTCGTTAACGAGTCTGTGCCTGTGGCTGTGGCTCCCAGCCGCTGCGAAGGCCAATGACAATAACAATGCTAAGAACGATAAGACTGATCGTATCCAGCATTAGTATTGGGAAATGACAACAAAATGTACAATACTGAACCTGCTGCTGATTTTAGTGCTGCTGTCCGCGGCTAGTGCCGCTGCTGTGGATGTTGTGGTTGTAGTTGTAGTTGTGGTTGTTGTAGCTGCTGCTGTTGCTGCTGTTGTTGTTGCTGCTGTTGTTGCTGTTGTTGTTGTTGTTGTTGTTGCTGATGTAGTTATTGCTCTTGCTGTTGCTCATGCGTTGCTGTTGCTGTTGCTGTCGTTGTTGTTGTTGTGGTTGTTGTTGCTGTTACCATTTGCTGCAAGTCTTCTTGTTTCTCGTCTCGTTGCCTCTGCTTTTTTGTAGTGTTAGGCTGAATGCCCGAAGCTTTCAGGCTTCAGCTGAAATTGATCACCTCGCGAGGTCGGAGGCCCGAAGAGGAAAGCTGAAAAGAACGGCAGCCAGGTGGAGGAGGAGCTGGGAGAGAAAGGGCTGTACGGGACGTGGGGTCGTGGGGGCGGGGCAGGGAGGCACAGGTGCTGCAAGTTCAACCTAACGAGATGCAAGGTCGATGCGTTCGTACTAGCACCAGTGTAAGTGCCACGACTATAGTATTCTCAGCAGTGAGAATATCACCTTCCCGTAGCACTGCTGAAAACTCGCACCATTCACGAGAAACAATACATTCATCCCCGTTTTGCATGGGCGCATCAATGTCGCTCCTGCAGGCCACTCTGCGAAAATATACCTGCTACCTCCCAGTCAGAGGGACATGTTCGTGAATGACGCAAATATATGTCTAGTGGCATTCAGGTCACAGTGTTTCGCTCATGTGTTTTGTGGCACGCAACCGAAGTGTTCGAAGAGTTGAGTTCGAACCGTCAATCACAACACGATAAGTTGCTCGCTGCGTGGCGTAGTTCTTATGCATGGCATGAGGAGGTATATGGAGCATGACAAGATCCCAAACCCAGAGCGCAAAACTCGCGCAAGTGAAGTTTCCTGTCGCAGCAGCCGCGGTGAATTCGAAGTGCAGGCGCATCGTCAAATTGTCGGATGCAAACAACTTTCAGCCACTTACTGTATCATGTAGGCTATCGACAAAATGGTTGTGGTGGGTGGTTACTCCGACAGGCAAATTGCAAGAGCGAACTGGAACCGAAGCACATTGCGCAAAGCTTCTTTCCAATACATTCCAATACTATACAACTGATTGCAAGCAAAGGGCCGCATGCGTGTTTCTGGGAAATGCAGATGGTCGAGATTACTGGATGTAATTGGTTTCGGTTAAGGGTGATGTGTGCCCCGAGCGGGGCAATCGGAGCATCCTAGTGACGTGGCCGAGCGTTATCTACAGCAGCCGGGACGCGTGGCACCAATCAAACAATTGAGTCTGTGTTTCCTCTTTTCTGGAGACCAGGCAGCCTTTCCCTACATGTGTTTTGAGGCATGCCCTCTAGCCATCGACTCGGCCTGCTGTTCCTCGCAACCGATGGAGACCAGCACTCGCGGGTAGTAGTACGGCTGATGGACAAAATCCTGCATGACCTTATGCACCTAAACTATAGGTTTTATATGGTACTATACTGTATTTGGGTCTTGCCGAATTTTGTCCATCAACCGTAGTACCATGAGTTGAAGGGTAGTTCTTGCTGCTGGGTTTCTACTTGACAGGAGCCGGACCAGAAGAAACAGTGCGCCTAGGTGAGGACCTCATGGAGCTTGGAAGCCAGCTTAAGCGTCGTCGGCGCTAAAAGCTTCAACGCCGAAAAAACTAAGGCTAAGGCAAGTACGTTATAGTACTTTCTAGTACATTCTAGTGTGTTATAGGTATATTATGAAGCTGATCGCCCGCCATTGCTCCATGGTGCCACTGAAGTTTTGAGTTTTCGCAGTTCTCACCCTGTACAGCTCGCAGAGACAGGCATCAGCCTCGTGCTCTTTCCTTCTTTGGGGCATAAGCTCGTTACTCGATAGTACCTGAGTTGTTTCCAAAACGACTAAGCTCCCGTGAAATGTCTCAGCATCTGTTGCGAGAACTTTGAAAGCTCCCTAGGACCTCCGCGTCTTGCATAGACATGAGCCAAAGTCTGCAAAGACTTCAGCAGAAGGGAAAACGATGCAGACTTGGAGATCTTAGTCACTTCTATGCTCACGTGACTGTTGGGATCAAGATCTAGGTTTCTATTGCGTAAGGATCGCCGCAGCATGTAGTACCCGATCATCTTGGCTCTGCATATGGATTGTTTGTTGCTTCTAGACCGTGGATAGATGTGGGTGGCCAGTGCTGCATGATTGCGAAGTGTTGTGGTAGCGAGCAGCTCGCATGTCGTCGTAGCAGCGAAACAAGTGTAAACTGTATTAATCGTTTGTCCCGACTCCCAAGTCGCGTGCACTCTCCGACACCATGCCTACCACAAGATCCCGGGCTTACATTCAGAGCCCTCTTCAATCCCAGATCAGCACCAACTCCAGCTGCAATCAAGTGTGAAGTCGGGCAACAACCGTGGCGGTTTCAAGTAGCTGGAATCACCTTATCATAATGCGTGGCTATGATGTCCCTGCAAGCACGTCGAGATTCGCGGCCTTAGCCTTTCAGGGGATTGGGCGGGCCGGTGGGTCACCTGGCAGCACAAGCTGAACTCTAGGGGGTACAGGTTTTTACAAGACACCTCCGTGGTTCTCCCTCGTGCCAACGCTCAGTACTTTAGTGGTGGAGTTGCAGCTCTTGGGGTCACAGCAGTCTATTGGGAGTCTATTGGGCAAGACACAGTATCGCCAGAGCAGCAGAAGCCGCTTGAGGCATTATGACTCTGTGATCTCTCTGCACAGGCCTTGATGTTCCGGATGTCACCCACGTCCTCAACTTTTCCTTGGGAATGTCGGCCGAAGCCCTAGCCACTCTCTGAACTTGTTTGTCCTGCTGCCTCTCAGAGCCCTGACAGAGAAGATTCTTGGAGCATTCGCGCCACACTGTGGAATGTCACTTCCCAGTCTCATGCTGTCAAGATCGAACTGCCCGAACCCGATGTTGCAGCACGTGCCGCAACATGTTCGCGCTTTTTTGTGCGAGCCATCTTCATGCCGATTCCGCCGTACAAATCGGCACTTGCACGCATTCCACTATATGTAGAATCGACAGCCGACTCAGGATGCCTCCTGGCTGCTGTCTTCTGTATGCAAAGCCTTCACTGCAAAGCCACCCCTTGCAACCAGTCAAACTGACATGCCCGATGTCGGCTCAGTTCCTGGAGGGATAGCTTTAAAAACAAGCTGATGCTCATGATGCTCGCCCCGCGGGCTCCCTAAATCTGTCCAATCACTCGGTCGAACTGCCACGCCTGCTGTGGGTTCAAGGGCCAGACCATCGGACAGAGAGTTTTAAACACAATCCAGCTGATGCTCATGATGGTCGCCACACGGGCTTCCTAAATCTGTCCAATCACTTGGTCGAACTGCCGGTTGGAAGCTTGTGGCGTTTACCGTGAGCATCTCTGCAACACATGCTTCGCAGTCATGCCTCGAAGGTACTACGGGCGCGCTGCCCTACTACTCACGAAAGCTGAACAGCTCCAACACCGTGAGTGGAGCCCGACTGCGACAGGTCTCCAAATGGCTCCTCAATCGAAAATTTGCCATTATCAAAATACCTGAATGAGTTTCTCTCTTCCATCCGTTTACATGTCCAGTTTCCATTGTGCAGCATGCAAGTTGTGTTGACCTGAGCTTCCAACGGTAACTTCCCAACTCCTCCTCGGAACTCAGGAACGCCAACATTTGCTCCACGAGGCTCGCGAAGCGCTGGGCACTGCCCTGCACGGCCTCCCTGGCCCCAGAGGCTGGGATAAGAAGACCTGTAGGCCACTGCAGGCCTAGGAATCATCTCTTGGATGAATTCGTTGCTTGGAGGCCAGAAGAAATCGAAGGAAGGCCAGCAGCGGCGCCCTGCGAGCTCTGATCCACGCATGTGGTACCTTTTGGGGCCAGGCCCTCAGCACAAGCTGCAGCAGCCGCGGCAACAACAACAACAACGATAGCAATAGCAACACAAATAGCAACAGCAGCAGCAGCAGCAGCAGCAGAGCAAGAGCAGCAGCAACAACAAGAACAACAACAAAAGCCGCCACCAGCAAGAGCAACAAGGCATCTTCGCCAGCATAATCGCATCACACTTTTGATCATGCTCGTCATCAGCAACATCATGATCATCATCATCAGAACATGCGTCAATGCAACCAAAATTTCTACCGACATTTTCGCCCTCGCCATTATCGTCATGGCCACCATCAGCACCACCCCCACCACCATTGTCATGACCATCGCCATCGTCTGGCAGCATGTCATGCCATGCCGTGCCATTGCAGCCATTGTACAATCGCTGGCCGTGTGATTGTTGCTAAAAAGGGTACGAGTGTTGTCTCTAAGCCCGGTTGGCATTGCGAGATGATTCTGGGCCTTCAACCTAACCGTAGGGCGAAAAGGGGCATCAAAAATAAGAAAAAAAAAAGCATAATAGATAGTAATATTTCAGAATAAAGATAAGAAGAAGAAGCCCAAAGCACCAAAGCCGCACAAACCTGAGTCCCGAAACTTGAAGCCCTCAAGCTACCCCTCCGCTCCCTTGCCTCACGTTAAGGCTGGTGATGTGCAGCCTTGGATCGGAAGCAGAAGGGCGACAGGCGAGCTGGTACTGACGGATGTCAGAAAAACGTTATGACTGTGCTGATGATGCTACGTCGATGAGGATGACGAGGTGATGGCAGATACTCGCAGCATAGTGGTAGTTATCACTGCAATAAACACTACTCGAATATCTTGGAAACAGGGTACTGGCAACGTCATGAAAGTATACTGCAGCTACGTAGACTGAGTTGGTGCACGGCTATCGTACCCAGATGATTCCATCGCCGTATGTGGCTTCCTGTCAGTGCTTGCCGCAAATCGAATCACGGCATTTGCCCAAACCGGATCAAACCGGCCTAAACCCGAAACATGAAAGCCGAGGGAAACACAAGGCATCGACCATTGTTTGTAAGGGATTACCACTGCGAGCTTGTATGAGTGTCTTGTGTTTCCTTGTCCTTGCCTTCACTCAGGCATACCGCCAGGCCCTTTCGCTCTTGCCCAAGGGCTTGTTTGCCCATGTGGTTTACTTCAATTCGGTGCTATCCTCGGCTGAAGCAAGATTTCGTCAAGTGCCGACTATTTCTAGGAAACACGGGTCCAAGAATGGTTTCAGGCCTTCAACGGATCACCCCACCGAGGCCTTGATCTACTCCCGGGACGCAATGGCAGGGAACTCGGCTGCTGAGGCAGCCGCAAAGCGTGCCCTGCACGAGTTCCGGCGCTGTTGCCGCGGCATGCTGAGGAGCTGTGCGGAAGGGTCTCTCCGGTCATGGCGCAACGATGGGTTCGACTGATGCGAAACAAATGCTTGTGTCGCCTTAGACAAAAGGAAGGGCCCGTAGCTTGTCCCGCCTGGCAGAGCCGTTTGCTTATTTCGCGCATTGGTTATGCATGGCTGACGCCCATGCTGGTACGATGTGTTTCCTGCCCCATGCCTGCCCGAAGATTCTGGCTGTGCTGCAGGAGGGGGTGAAGTGGATGGAACTCGTGCAAGCTTTGAAGCACTTGGTCTCACCTAGCATTCTGAATTCGTTTCACAGAGCTGTACACAACATGGTCTGCGCAGTGCTGAATCGGCTTCTGATTCGGTTCCCTGTTGTGCTTGACTCCCTCATTTGCCATCCTGCTTCACGACGATGCCAAGCACGGGGTTCGCATCCGAAAAATTTAAGTTTCCGGCATATCTTTGACCCCTGAGACCAGCCATTTTGGTAATAGAAGGCTCCAGAACTCCGCAGCAGCATGTGATGCCGATTCCAGCATAAGCCTAAATTTATACAAATATATTGCTTATGGGATATTCTATATCTATATATATTGCCCAAAAAATATATATAATAGATATAGATGCTCACCCCTCCGGTTGACAGACCGCGGCGCACATACAGTGTGTTCTTGGCAAGTGACCCTACTGATGTAAACCTGTTTAGGATTGCCGCCGTTGGCTTTTAATATTGGTTTTAGTATTTTCCTTTGATATTGAGACTGGTGTTAATTTTTATAGTAGTAGTAATACTCCTACGAGTATTAATATCATACTCATAGTGATTAATACTAATACTAAATTAACCCGAATACGAAGATTACTATCCCTACGACTATTTATATTCGTATTTACAGTAATTTTAACCCAA